AAAATTTAAGAAATGTGTTGTGTTTTGTCCTGTAGGATCACTCTATCCCGACTCATCTGGGTTATGCGGTGGCTCCTCATCACTCGGGTGTGTATCCTGTCCACATCCAGCTGTACGAGGCCTGGAAGCGTGTGTGGGACATTAGAGTGACCAGCACTGAGGAGTATCCACACCTCAAACCCGCGCGATTCAGACGCGGATTCATACACCGCGGCATTAGAGTGAGCATGTGTGTGTGTGTGTGTGTGTGTGTGTATGTGTGTGTGTGCATGAGTATCTGCGTTTGTGTGTCAATCTATGTTTCTGTATGTGTGTTGCTGCAGGAGTGTGTATGTGAGTCCAGGTCTAATTGTGTGTGTGTGTGTGTGTGTGTGTGTGTGTGTGTGTGTTTCGTCAGGTTCTGCCCCGTCAGACGTGTGGTCTGTTCACTCACACCATCTTTCATGAGGAGTATCCAGGCGGTCCACAGGAGCTCGAGCACCTCATCCATGGAGGAGAACTGTTCCTTACTGTCCTGCTCAACCCTGTCAGTTTCTACACAAACACACGCATACACACTGTAAAAAATGCAGAGTTCCACACAATTCATGCATGTTTAAATCAATTAAGGCCATGTTCACATGTACACTGGAATTTTTAAAAACTTTTGTTTTTAAAAAAAAGTCTCATGCTAATGAGGGAGCGATGGTCACTAGTGGGCAGGACTTTCCCCTTCTGTTGACACAAACAAAGGGAAAATGTCAATCAAAGTGTTTCTGCAGACGGTTTTTATTAAGTGTGATTATATAAATAAAATTAAAGGGTTGGTTCAGAGTGTATTTTTAAGACTTGGCTGTGTTTATAAGATGCAAAGCAATGTGTGCTCATGCTTCACTTGTAGAAAATCAGGTTATTTTGAGGCTACTCGACTAACATGAAACATGAAAACGACATATTTCCTAGTTTCTCTAAAAAGGCCCACCCTCAAGAGGCTCTGATTGGTCAGCTAACATAATGTGCTGTGATTCGCAGATTGGCTCCACATCACGACGTCACGCCCCTACAAGCACATGCTTTTGCGCTGTGTAAACAGGTTCAGTCAGAGCAGCTGTTAGCAGCGCTAGCTCCAACCCAAGCTCATTCTGGAAACGTAGCCCCGCGGACGTTTCTGGAGACCGCGATTTACGTGGCCGGAGGTACGTAAAGGCAGCGTTTGGTTTTTTTTTCGAGCGAACGGCTCGCCTCTGAGTGGAGGGCTTTCCCGACGCAATCAGTTTGTCCGCCTAGCTCACAGCGTTGCGTCGGCGGAGCGGAGGCCCCGGACGAGGAGGAGGAGGAGGAGCCGGCCGCGATGGACGACGACCGGGATCGAGTCCGGGGAACAGCAGGTTCCGGAAATCAGGTGAGACGAAAAACGGAATCCGAAAAATGAGGGCGAGAACGCGGCAGGATCCGAAAACGCGATCGAAATCGAAGACGAGGGCTTTTGCTTTTTTTTTTTTTTTTTTCCCGATCCGGCGGCTTTTCGCGTGAGAACGGCGCGAACGCCGCACGCTCCCGAGAGGCGCCCGCCCGAGACACGAAAAAGCGTGCACAGCGGCCTCTCGCGGATCCGCGAAAACAAAAAAACGCTCGAATACGTACCTCCCGGGACGTAAATCGCGGTCCGCAGAAACGTCCGCGGTGCTACGTTTCCACAATGAGCCCGGGTTGGCTAGCTCCCTGAATCAGACAGAAAAATGAAGAGCACACAGGTAACCCTCACACTTGCTCTCTAAAATAAAATCTGACAAGAGTCTTTCGTATACATTTGGAATAAGCTTGTATAATTAATATAAAGCCTTCACATATCTTTTGTGAGTTATTTTGACATGCAGAACGCAGGGACAGCGGCTGCATAGAGAGACACTGCAGCGCTGCTGAAGATTGTGTTTACAGCAGTTTGACTAATAAATATGACTTGTAGCTAAATTTGTTAGCAGTGCCAAACAGCATTGTTTACATCCTTGTTTACGTCCTGGCTACAACATATTGTTAACGCTAGACATTGTGCATGTAGTCGATCAATTTCAACAGACAAAAATACTTACAGTCTCACTTAACTCAGTCTGTTGGTGAAGTTTTAACCGAATCCAGCACTGAACTGGGAGAGATTCTGGAAGTTCTCCTTTGTCAAATGCTAGCTATATATTTTTTATAATTCTCTGGAACATAATTAAAGTCAAACTGTAAGCACTTCTGTCTTTGTGCCGTGTCCTTTGGAAGCCCAAATACAGAAAAAGAAGAAGTTCTGTGAAAATAGCAGCGTTTGGACGCCATTTTAGCTTTCTCTGCTATAACATTTCAGCGCCTCTGGCCACGCCCCATCGCTGCGTAGAGTGTAAATGTGTGTGTACTGCGTGCGGTAAATGCGCGTAACCTGAAGCATCTCACTAACATTGATGTATTATTTTTGTAGTCCCATAACTTCGTTCGCTGCTTTGCTAAGCTAACTCTTTAAAAGCCAATGTCTCCCTTTGCATTGAACTTTGAGCATCTTACATTCAGAGATGTTGTTTATGTTCACACAGCTACATTACACATCAACTAAAATTTTAAATATGATATCGTAGTGGACCACCCCTTTAATTAATTTTTATATTTATATATTTATATTTATTATTTTTATTTTTTTAATTATATCCACTCACTGTCACCACACATCTGTGTTTAAACCCCTTATAAAAGTGATTTTAGTGGAATAGGTGCCATTTAAAGTGTGTTTGATTGTCTAAAGTGTGCTTGTTCCTCAGATCAGCATATTCATGACGCACATGTCAAACTATGGAAATGACCGTCTGGGATTGTTCACCTTCAAACGGCTGCTTGACTTTCTCCAAACGTGGACTCATCTGAAACTGCAGACTCTTCCCCCTCTGCAGCTCGCCGAGAAATACTTCCACATGTTTCCATCGGACACGGAGCCGCTCTGGCAGGTCTGCGTCAGCTTCATTCATAATCTACACAACATGACAGAGAGTATGGAAGGCAATTAGGGACACGAGTCATTAAAACAAAACACATGCAGTTTGGTTTGATTGGGTCTTAAAGTGTAGCAGCCAATGAAGCTGCTGTATTTGAGACTGCATTTGCATATGGAATGTTGGAACTGTATATATGTTTAACATAATGTTTATTCATGAAGATAGTTGTAATGGTGTACTGTCATGCTTGGACAAACACCAGACATTATGAAGCTTTCCATAAATATTCAGCATATTCAAACTAGTGATGGCTGCTTTGGAAACGATGCTTGGAGAAGCTTTATGAATCTTTTGTTTTGATTCAGTGGTTTCGGAGCGCGAATCGAAATCGCAAGGTCATGTGATTGTAATAAACGGGGTTTTATTATGTCAATACAGTTTCAGAATGCTTTTCATTGAATGTGCTTGAGCTCAACCACTCTCACTGGCTGAGTTATGACTAAAACAATACGCTATTGGCTGTTTTTTAAATGGGAGGAGCTACTCTATGTCCTGCTCTATCTTTTTAGTTGAAATAAAGTTGAATGAACAAATGTTCTGCTGAAAAATCCAGCTTAAACCAGCCTAGGATAATTGGCTGGTTTTAGCTGGTCGACCAGCCTGGTTTTAGAGGGGTTTTGGCCACTTCCAGGCTGGTTTCCAGCCATTTCCAGCCTGGTCTTAGCTGGTCAGGCTGGAAAGTGACCAGCTAAAACCATCTAAAACCAGCCATCCTGTTTTAAGCTAGACATAGCTGGTTTTGGCTGGGCTCCCAGGCTGGTCAAGCTGGTTTTAGCTGGTCATCTCCCAGCCTGTCCAGCTAAAACCAGGCTGGAAGTGGCCAAAACCCCTCTAAAACCAGGCTGGTCGACCAGCTAAAACCAGCCAACCATCCTAGGCTGGTTTAAGCTGTATTTTTGTGCAGGGTGCACATTACAAAGCATGCATTTTTTTGCCCGTATTTTTGTTGCCTTTACACATTTTGACAAGCAAGTGTCTCTATCATCTGGTGTTTCCATAGAGTGTACAAAATATGGATGTAGTGTCCATAATGTCACCCATAGGTTTCTGAAAAGCGCAATGAAGATATGTGTGATGTTATCTTTAGGACCCTTGTGAGGATAAACGACACAAGGACATCTGGTCCAAAGAGAAGACCTGCGATCGCTTCCCAAAACTGCTGCTCATCGGCCCTCAGAAAACTGGTGAGGAGCCGCAGCACCACCTGATGGACACCTTCAATACTACACACACACAGCCAGATGGAGATGCCCTATAGATTAAACTGAACTAAGCACACAAAATGTATTTGTATATTCTATTTAGAATTTATTTATTAAATTATTTATACTTATTTTTATTTTTTGTAAGTTTTAACACCAAACACAAAACTCCACGTGTGGAAAAACTTACATTTAATTTAAACTAGATGCAACATTTTTCCATTTAGTTTGGACATAGTAATATAATAACTATGAGTGATAATAATAATATTATTGACTGAAATAATTAAACCTAAAAAAGTCAAAATGACGGAAATTAATTTGCAACTTCGTGAAAAATTTGAAAGTGCATAAAGTTCAGATGCAAAAACCTACAGTGAGCATTTCTCTTAGCTTCTTATGTTTACATTCAGTTATGTCATGTTATAAGCAATGAAAATAACTGAAAAAATAAATATTCTTTGCCATAAAAATGAAATGACTAAATCAAGAAATAGGAGCCTGAGAAAAATGCTAATTTCAGAACAGAAGTTCAGATGGCACTTAGAGGATTTTGCATCAGAATTCTTCATGTGAACCCTAAAAAAGCAACGTATTCCTGAAGTTAGACACTTAATCCACTTTAATCCATTCAGCCGATCTCTGCATCTAGTTTGAGCACTTTTAGCTTAGCTGAGCATAGATGATTGAATCGGATTAGACCATTAGCATTACACTCAAAATGAGTTTTGATCTTTTGTTTAAAGTCTGTAAGTACATTGTGTACTAACGCTCTATTCACATGGGGCAACAGTGTCAACGATGTCCATCCACTTGAATGGGTGACATCAAGCATTGCCAAACTGAAATGTTGGTCCGCCGGCGCTGCTTTAGTGGCATTGCTCAACTTTTCAAGCGCCAATGGAAGCATCAGCCAATCAGATCACTATGCAAATACACCAGCTTAGACAGTAGCCGATTGTGGACTTGTCTGACACTGCTATGATGATCAACCCCAACTTCAGACACACTCTCCGTCAAGCGTTGACACTGAAGCCCTGTGTGAATTGGGCGTAAGACTTAGGGGAAATGAAAATACTAGTATCAAGCTTACATTTAAAGGTTTAACTAGGTTAATTAGGCAAGTTAGAGTAATTAGTAGGCCCAGACAGAATCATTTTTTGCTATTTCTGCTGAGAGTTTTGTAAAAAGTCTGTGGATTAATGCGGAATGATTTTAGGAGTATTATAACTAAAAACTTATTAAACATATATGAAATAAAAAGTAATAGCTTTTTAACTTTTATTTAATATTTACAATACAAATCCAATTAGATTCACTTATTTGGTAAACAAAGCAAGTCTCTTGTATAATATCGCCACTAAAAGACAAAATATTACTTTACAAACTGTACTGTACATAAATTATATCAACATTTTAATATTACTAATATTATATCATAATAATATTAGTGAAATTAATTTAAACAAACATAATAAGTCAATAAATATAAATTTACACACATTTGCACAAATAAATACAGACTCAACGACGGGCTAAAAATCTGCAGATTTCGGCGCACACAGATTTCGTTTGAGCCTAGTATTTAGGTTATTGTATAACGATGGTTTTTCTGTAGACAATCAATAAAAAAAACATATTGCTTAAGGGGGCTAATAATATTGACCTCAAAATATTTTTAAATATTACAACTGCTTTTATTCTTTTTTTTTCTCAACTTTGTTTTTATTGATTTTAATTATAATACAAAACCCAACATACAGTACAGAATGTTAACTTATGATATTTCAGAGTCTACTTTCCCACCCCAACATTTGTTAAATTAAAATAACATTTAAAATAAATTATAACATAAAATAATATACAATACTTAAAAAAAATACAAAAATAAATAATTAAAATAAAATAAAAAAACATATTTAAAAAATTATGTGTATATATATACACACACACACACACACACACACATATATATATATATATATATATATATATATATATAAACAATAACAAAATAAATAAAATAAAAATAAAAAAACTATTACATTGAATTTTAAATTACAGTCATCTTTCCAGAGACATCCTTTTTTTTCTATCCATTTATAAAGCAACTGAAAGGGGACCACACTTTTTTAAAAGTCTCTGCTTTACCTCTGATCACGTATGTTAATTTTTCAAGAGCAAGATTATTAGACATTTCCTTTATCCATTGTGCAAGAACAGGTCTTTGGGTGTTTTTCCATACCAAAGCTATAACACGTTTAGCTTGTATAAAGCTGAAATCTATATATATATTTTTTTGTTTGCATTCACTGACAAATTTTCAGGATATATATGTAATAAACAAAGTTTTGGTTCCAAAGGAACACATTCACCAACAATTTCACAGACCACACCAAGCAGCTCCTTCCAAAACAACTGCAGCTCTCCACAATCCCACACACAGTGAAGCAGAGTACCAATTTCATCTTTACATTTTGTGCAATAGTCTGGGTTATTAGGGTTAATCCGGTGTAATTTTACAGGTGTAATGTAAACTGCTTTTATTCTAGCTGAAAAAAAACAAATAAGACTTTCTCCAGAAGAAAAAATATTATAGGAAATACTGTGGAAAATTCCTGGCTCTGTAAAACATCATTTGGGTAATATTTGAAAAAAAAAAAAAAAAAAAAAAATCGATGGATGACTATTAATTTTGACTTCAACTGTATATTAAAATAAACATATTATCCCCATGTTCCTCTCATTTCCTCTATGTGTTTCAGGAACGACGGCTCTTTATTTATTTCTAGGCATGCATCCAGACCTGACCAGTAATTACCCCAGTAAGGAGACCTTTGAGGAGATCCAGTTCTTCAGTGGCTACAACTATCAGCGTGGCATCGACTGGTGAGTGTTTTAGAGCCGTAAACATCGCACTCAGCACCCATCCGTAAATATTTCTCAATATTTTTCTCTCTCCTGCAGGTATATGGAGTATTTCCCCCTTCCGTCAAACAGCAGCTCGGAGTATTATTTTGAAAAGAGTGCCAATTATTTCGATTCAGACGTAGCTGCGCTTCGGGCCGCGGCGCTGCTGCCCAGAGCTAAAATCATCACGGTGTTGAGTGATCCTGTGGACAGAGCCTACGCCTGGTACCAGGTACAGCCACATGCACAAGAACAACTCATTTACCATGCTTTTACCACAGTAATTATACCTCAATGTAGGGATGTGCATTTAATCGAAAATCCGATTTCGATTTTATATATGTAATAATCCTGCTGCTGCCTGTTTTTATGAATATTAATCAAACAGCAAATGGAGAATCTGCCTCTCTGCTCTTGACTGAAGGACTTTTGTAGCTAAAATGCTTTTCTTACAGTGAAGATGCTTGAAGCACAGTTTGTTTTATATTTTTATTCTATTATATTTATTTATAAATAAAAAAGACAAGTTTAGGACATAAAATGCAGACAATTGATTAAAAACAGATAAAAACAATTTAAAATGTGTTAAAATAGGTTATAAAAGAATGAAAAAGAAAACGAAAAACATAATAGTGCAATCTGTCGGACGTAACATAATGCTCATACAGTAAAGGCACAGCTAAAATTAGCCCTCCTGAATATTAGCAACCCTTTTCCTCCCCAATTTCTGTTTCATGGAAAGAAGATTTCTGAACATAATAGTTTTAATAACTCATTTCTAATAACTGATTTATTTTATCTTTGTCATGATGACATCACATAATATTTGACTTGATTTTTCAAAATACAGGCATTTAGATTCAAAGAGCGATTTAAAGGCTTAATTAGTGTAATTTAGGCAGGTCATTGTATAACAGTAGTTTCTTCTGCAGACAACCAAAAATATATTGCTTAAGGGGGCTGATAATATTGACTTTAAAATGGGTTTTAAAATATTTAACCCTGCTTTTATTCCAGCCAAAATAAAAATAAAATAAGCCTTTCTCCAGAAGAAAAAATATTAGAGGAAAAACTGTTAAAATTCCTTTCTCTGTTAAACATCATTTGGGAAATATTTATTTAAAAAAAATTCTCAGGAGCGCTAATCATTTTGACTTTAACAGTAATCGTTTTGAATAATCGTGATTACAATTATGACCAAAATAATCATCATTATGATTTTTCCCAAAATCGAGCAGCCTTCCTCAATGTCAAAAAATAAGCATTTAAATAAAAACCGTGAAATGAAAGTGCTCTATTCTTTTAACATTTAAAAATGATGTATTAATTGTTTACATTCCCCCCCCCCCGCCTCAGCATCAGAGAGTTCACGGTGACCCTGTGGCTCTGAAATACTCTTTCCATGACGTCATCACTGCATCCCACAATGCACCAGTGAGGCTGCAAACCCTGCAGAAGCGATGTCTGCTTCCAGGCTTTTACAGCAAACACTTGACACGCTGGATCCAGCACTTCCACCACAGCCAGGTGTGTGTATGTGTGTATGTGTGTGTGTATGTGTATGTGTGTGTGTGTGTGTGTGTGTGTGTGTGTGTGTGTGTGTGTTTGGTCCCACTTTATATTAAGTGGCCTTAACTAATATGTACTTACATAGGAGTTAATAGTTTGTTACAATGTACTTATTGTGTAAATACATGTATTTTACTTATATTTTTATGTTTGGTTAAATACCTGTATGTAATTACTTATGGTTGATTAGACTCAGACTCAGACTCAGCTTTATTATCCCGTTAGGGAAACTAAAATTGCAACAAGGTACCATACACAGGTGAAGTTCCATGTACACATTAAAAAATACTACTATACAACATCCATACATCAATATATAGAAACATCCCCCTCCCCCCTGGACCCATTTAATGACCTAATGGCCACCATTATAAAATAATTTCTGGTTCTATTTGTCCTGCAAATAGGAACCCTAAAACGACGTCCTGATGGCAACAGCTGAAATACAGAGTACAGTGGGTGATCCGAGGTGCATAGGATACCCTGAGCTCTCCTTAGTACATGATTTTGGTAGATTACCATTAGACCAGTCTGATTAAAACCAATGATCTTGCCTGCCACCTTCACCAGGCTGCTCAACCTGTTCTTGCTTGACACACTCAGATTTCCCTACCAAGCTACAATGCAAAAAGATAAAACAGATTCGATAAATTGTTATAAAACAGCGTCATCATAGAGGTACAAACCTGAAATGATCTAAGTTTCCTCAGAAAAAACAGTCTTTGTTGGACTTTTTTATATACAGCCTGGGTGTTTGGTTGAAATGTCAACATAATATCAATAACAATACATGATTAAATACATGTATGTAATTACATCTGTAATTAACTTTTGTAATTACATTTGTAAATACACTGTTGACCATCCCTTACACCTTAGCCCACCCTTAAACCTACCCAAACCACCAAACCTGTCCATAACCCGACCTCTATCCCAACTCAAAAGCACCACAAGTGTTCTCAAATACATTATAAACACAGTAAGTACATTGTATGTATTTTTGATGTAAGTACATAGTAGTTAGGGACACTTAAAATAAAGTGGGAGCGTGTGTTTTTATGAGCACATCTTTCTAGATCGCATTTAATCTGTTTCATCATCACAGATTCTGGTTGTGGACGGTCAGACGCTGAAAACCGATCCTGCTTCAGTCCTGGAAAAAATCCAGACCTTTCTGGGGTTGGAGAATCGAGTCGACTACCACAAGATACTGGCGTGAGTTTGATATGAAATGTAATAAGTCATTGGTGGCTGTTGAATTTAATTAATAGAAATTAATTCACATCTGGGCTGCCGATGTGGCGTAAAGTCGAGTGTATCATTTTCTCCTAATTGAATGGAGTCATTTTTCTACATTTAGTTAACGCATGCAAATACAGTTGAAGTCAGAAGTCACAGCCGACTTGCGAATTCTAAAATGCATCGCCGAATGGCGCTTCTGGTGTGCAACCTGCTTTACGTTCCTGACGCAGCACCAGTGGAACCGGAATTAGGCACCGAAATTCATATGCTGATTCGGTCTGGTGCATACCTGTTCCAAAGGTACCGGTGCCATAATGGCACTGGGTTTCGGTACCCAACCCTAAATTTGACACAGTAAGAAGTTAAATATTCATAATAGGAAAGGTTCAAACAATGATATTTTGGAATTAGCAGTGGAGACTTTTCATGAAATGCATATAAAATGAATACACAATCTGAGGAAATATACAGTTGAAGTCAGAAGTATTAGCCCCCCTGAATTATTACACTGCTTGTTTATTTTTTCTTCAATTTCTGTTTAACGGAGAGCAGATTTTTCAGCACATTTCTAAACATAATAGTTTTAATAACTCATCTCTAATAACTGATTTATTTTATCTTTGCCATGATGACAGTAAATAATATTTGACTAGATATTTTTCAAGACACTTCTATACAGCTTAAAGTGACATTTAAAGGCTTAACTAGGTTAATTAGGCTAACTAGGCAGGCTAGGGTAATTAGGTAAGTATTGTATAACAGTGGTTTGTTTAGTAGATTATCTAGAAAAAATATAGCTTAAAGGGGCTAATCATTTTGTCCCTAAAATGGTGTTTAAAAAATTAAAAACTGCTTTTATTCTAGCCGAAATAAAACAAATAAGACTTTCTTCAGAAGAAAAAATATTATCAGACATACAGTGAAAATTTCCTTGCTCTGTTAAACATCATTTGGAAAATATTTTAAAAAGAAAATAAAAGTTCGAAGGGGGCTAATAGTTCTGACTTCAACTGTGTGTATATATATATATATGTGTATATATATATATATATATATATATATATATATATATATATATATATATATATATACACACATATACACATAAACAAGCTGCGATCAATCATGTCATGTGCTCCTCTCAAAATAGAGTATATGCAGAAGTATGCGAAAGGACTTTTCATTTGTCAGTAACCTAGGTCAAACACTTCTGGTGAATTGTATTCAGTTACAAAATCTGCACGTTTAAGGTCTGTTTTCTTTACAAATCAGCGATCTCCACTGGCTGAGTGATATCCGATATAAAGTGGGTCTCCGAATGTGCAAGAAGCACTGCATTAAACTACATTTTTCACCACCATGTCTTTAAAATATGAACATTTATTTTACCCCAGTATATTCAATAGAGCTTCTGTGCTAGCCTGCTAATCCTGACGGGCGCGTGTGAGTGAACGACTTTTTATCTCGATTAACGCTTGAGCAACTAAATGAATGGTCAGTTGGCGTTTCTGTGTGGAGTTTGCATGTTCTCTGTGTTCGCGTAAGTTTCCTCCGGGTGCTCCGGTTTCACCCACAAGTCCAAAAACATGTGGTATAGGTGAACTGGCTAAGCTAAATTGGCCGTGATGTATGTGTCTGAATGAGAGTGTATGGATGTTTCCCTGTGATGGGTTGCAGCCGGAAGGGCATCCGCTGCATAAAACATATGCTGGATAAGTTGGTGGTTCATTCCGTTGTGGCGACCCCAGATTAATAAAGGGACTAAGCCGAAAAGAAAATGAATGAATGAAAGAATATGGGATTTATTAATGTCCTCCTTACATTTCATACAGTATATGTGTCCTGTTTTTTAATTAACTAAATCTTTTGTACTGTAGGTTTAACCCAAAGAAAGGCTTTTGGTGTCAGCTGCTGGACGGAGGAAAGACCAAGTGTTTAGGGAGGAGTAAAGGACAGAGATACCCAGACATGGACACACAGGTACAACACAGTAGTGTTTTGGAAATTAATGAATGTAGAATAATCGTGACAACTGTGAACATTCTCATTGCATGTTTTCTCTGTCAGTCTCAGGTGTTTTTGAGGAACTACTACAGCGATGGCAATATTGAGCTGTCGAAACTGCTGTATAAAATGGGTCAGACGGTGCCCGGCTGGCTCAGACAAGAGCTTCTTCACACTAGATAACAGAGTCTGTCATGACGGTGGTCTTTAACTCGCTAGTACAATTCTGTATGTATTTAAAGGCCAGTATTTATGAGCAGATTCTGTTTTCTACAGACGCTGGATCAGAATATGAACTTGAAGATCGTCCTGCTGTGATGAAGACACGAGTGATTGTGACACTCCAAACTTAAATGAAAGACCTTTTAAATAAAACTGAATTTGATACAGACCGTCTTTGATTTTATAAAGGTCTGCTATGGACATCTGCATTTTTTTTCACAGCTGCCTTTTTCCTACGTTTTTTTACATTTCATCATAAACTGAAGGACTTTCTTTGTCGAGCTCCAAGAATTCATTAAAAATACAATCAACGTATCCAACCCTGGCTCATTCTGAAAACGTAGTCCTGTATACATTTCTGGAGAGCGCCAAATACGTCCCAGGAGGTATGTCTTTTGCAGTTTTTGTTTTCGTGAATTCACCAGAGCCGCTGTGTACACTTTTTGAGATCTCAAATTTCTCTGGCAAGTGCCATTCTTGCCTGCTGTTCTCTCGTAAATTCACCAGAGGCCGCTGTTTAACGGTTTGACTGACTGACTGGTGGACTGACCCACTCTCCTCCTTCCCTAAACCCAACCAACAGTGTTTTCAAAAGCAATCCAGAAAAAGAAAAGCCCTTGCTTGATTTTTACCACATTTTCAGATTTTACCACATTCTCACCCTGCTATTTACTTGATTATTTTATTTTTTTGGCTTTTGTTTTTATCTTACCTGCTTTCTGGAACCGTTCTTCGCCAGACTCAAACCCCATCGTCTTAATATGGAGGTAAGCGGTCAGCTAGTAAGCGCGAGATGACGTTATACCACCCCGTAGCATTCGTTTTAAAGATGAAATGCAGCCATACGTATTTCTGGCTACATAATTTGCGATCTCCAGAAATTTATATAGGGCTACGTTTTCAGAATGAGCCGATGTTGAACATATCCTTTATTCCAGGCCTTCTGTGACAACTGTGAACATTCTCATTGACTGTCTGTGTCTCTGTCAGTCTCAGGTGTTTTTGAGGAACTACTACAGCGATGGCAATATTGAGCTTTCGAAACTGCTGTATAAAATGGGTCAGACGGTGCCCGGCTGGCTCAGACAGGAGCTTCTCCACACTAGATAACAGAGTCTGTCATGACGGTGGTCTTTAACTCCCTAATACAATTCTGTACGTATTTAAAGGCCAGTATTTATGAGCAGATTCTGTTTTCTACAGACGCTGGATCAGAATATGAACTTGAAGATCGTCCTGCTGTGATGAAGACACGAGTGATTGTGACACTCCAAACTTAAATGAAAGACCTTTTAAATAAAACTGAATTTGATACAGATCATCTTTGATTTTATAAAGGTCTGCTATGGACATCTGCATTTTTTTTCACAGCTGCCTTTTTCCTACGTTTTTTTACATTTCATCGTAAACTGAAGGACTTTCTTTGTCGAGCTCCAAGAATTCATTAAAAATACAATCAACGTATCCAACCCTGGCTCATTCTGAAAACGTAGTCCTGTATACATTTCTGGAGAGCGCCAAATACGTCCCAGGAGGTATGTCTTTTGCAGTTTTTGTTTTTCGTGAATCCACCAGAGCCGCTGTGTACACTTTTTGAGATCTCAAATTTCTCTGGCAAGTGCCATTCTTGCCTGCTGTTCTCTCGTAAATTCACCAGAGGCCGCTGTTGACTAACGGTTTGACTGACTGACTGGTGGACTGACCCACTCTCCTCCTTCCCTAAACCCAACCAACAGTGTTTTCAAAAGCAATCCAGAAAAAGAAAAGCCCTTGCTTGATTTTTACCACATTTTCAGATTTTACCACATTCTCACCCTGCTATTTACTTGATTATTTTATTTTTTTGGCTTTTGTTTTTTTATCTTACCTGCTTTCTGGAACCGTTCTTTGCCAGACTCAAACCCCATCGTCTTAATATGGAGGTAAGCGGTCAACTAGTAAGCGCGAAATGACGTTATACCACCCCGTAGCATTCGTTTTAAAGATAAAATGCAGCCATACGTATTTCTGGCTACATAATTTGCGATCTCCAGAAATATATATAGGGCTACGTTTTCAGAATGAGCCGATGTTGAACATATCCTTTATTCCAGGCCTTCTGTGATGCTTTGAGAGACAAACTGATTGAAATGTAATTTAATTCTGATTGAAATAGTGCTTTGTTTCGCTTTCAATGTGTCAGATGCAGGTTTACACAATACGGTTATAAATGTGAGTAAATTATTGTTTTTAGCTAAATGATCTCTTAAAAGTTGCAGCTCACACGCTAACAATACAGAAATCTTTAGTGTTTACACTAGTACATACTCTTTTCTACTGTACCGAGGCTTTTATAATATTAATTTACGATTTAAAGTGATGATTAAGTGTTAAAACATCCTGTTTTCATGAGATCTGTGTTGGTTTATTTTCTCATTATTTTTGAAACACAAGTGTGGGGATTTTATTAGGGAAGATGTTTATTAAAGCAGTATTTCACCTGAAAACGAACCTGTATGGCTTCAGTGATGTTGTATTAAAGGTGCGGTCACACTTTACAATAAGGTTCATTGGTTAATGTTAATTAATGCATTTACTAACATGAACAAAAATAGACAATACATCTACTACTGTATTTGTTCATGTTGGTTAACGCTAGTTAATGAAAAGACAGTAGTTCATTGTTAGTTCATGATAACTCATAGTGCATTAATGTTAACAAGCATGGACTTGAATGCTAATAATGCATTAGTAAATGTTCAATTATGATTAATAAATGCTGTACATGTGTTGTTCATGATTAGTTCATGTTAGTAAATACATTAACTAATAAACCCTATTGTAAAGTGTTACCAAAGGTGCAGTAGGTGATTGTCTTCAGAAGCATTTGTTGTTGTGCTGGTTGAAAGTCTCTTCACATTCCAATAGTAATGATTAAAGTAAATGATCTAAATGTATTTATATGTAATTTTATATTCTGAGTGAGGCATAAAACTAAAAGAAATGTTTGTCCAAAATAAAATTCTGATAAGTAGCCCAAAATGTGTGTCAAACAAATGTGTAGATCTGCGCACCCCTGTTCAAGTAGACAGATCCGCAAAGACAGTGACAGCGGTATAAAACAAATCCTGAATCAAAACTTTTTAAGATCCTCAATCAATCTTGGAGATAGTTTTGCACACTGGAGGAAAGACGACACCATGGCTGAAGTATTTCTGTTAGACAGGTAATGTTCTGTTATAAAACCATATTAGTCACGCAGAGCTGATGTAGATTGTATTGTTATGAATGGGTTATATGCACAGAAGTGTTGTTCAGCCACTGAAATCTTCCGGCGAATGATTGATGTGACTATTTTCACTTTCATAAGGTCCTTTTACATAATTGATAATGTAGATTTCATTTAGATTAACAACAAAACATGAGTAGAGAGCGCTATTCTGCCTGGCCTACTTTACTGAGGTGAAATTGCTTTTACATTCACATTAGTTAATTTTTGAACAATGACAACCTGTGATGCACTCCCTATATTGTTTACCATGCTACTCTGAAATATTCGCTCTGAAATAGCATGCAAGTATGGCTAAGCTGGCCAAACACTAAGCATAGTCGCTTTAGACAAAATGCGTGAGAGAGTGAGACCAGCAATTCTTGCATGCATGAAATATATTGGACATTATGACACGTTTTGCTTGCTACACAACTGAAAACGTGCTAAATATGATAAAGTTTTTCATTCAAAATTGTAGTATTATAAAGGACTATCAATTTTTCTGGTGAATGACATGCTGTTGAGTCATCTTTATATTCTATTCATGATATCAGTAGGCATGGCTTTGGACTGCAGGGGAGGAACTGTGTATTCAAAGCTATTATGCTAACGATTAGCATTTCGGCAGGTCACCTACTGCACCTTTAAGTCTGTTTTCTGAAGTTATGTGAGATTTGTGCTGCAGTTCTTCACAAATGCACCTTTTCAGGCTTTCATGCATCGCATAATACCATTTCGCTGTTCTCTGCCTTTTTGTAATGTATTTATTAAGTTGTTTTTCCACATAAAGGTCAGCTGCCATCTGTTCTGTAGAACCGGTGTGAATTTCTGTCATGCATGAAAGTGAAATTGTAATTTACTATTGGCCAGATGATGAAGGGGGAAATCACTGACTTGTCTTCCACAGGAAAATCAGCTATCAGATACAGTTATGTTTATTTCTGTATTGCTACGATAATGCACAACAAACTTTGTATTGCCAAAATGTCTGGTTGTTGATATGGTAATATGAACATGTGTAAGTAGATTGAAAGGCCTCACACTACATGATTCATGAATTAATTTTCCTGATTTCTTCTTTATTTGATGTCTGACCTGATCAAACAGATGCAGATGAGGAATAAATCACTCCGTTACTAATGCTGGAGATTTGTGGTTGTGTGTGTGTGTGTGTGTGTGTGTGTGTGTGTGTGTGTGTGTGTGTTTGTGTGTGTGTCTGTGTGTGTGTGTGTGTGTGTGTTTGTGTGAGAGAGAGAGAGAGAGAGAGAAGCTTCAAACGTTGTTGCTATGGCTACACACTTCCTCGTTCTTTATGAGTTTAATTACATTCATATTGTGTTTTGGGTTGAAACGCTCAAGGGAGTTTCAGGTTATTAATGTGAGTTTTAATATAAGAGTTATTAAGTGGATTTCTGGAAGTTCTGCGCTAGTAAAAAAAACTGCTCGTTTATATTTCAGATAATATTGCTTTACGCATGCTGTAGTAGATATGTCAATCCACACGATGGCGCCAGAAGCTTTTTTGTCATGAACCTTTATTTGACAACCTCTGCAGTGAAGAAAACTCGTTTCTCGACTATAAATTGCAATGAACAGGATTAATTGTCCTAATTATGTTGGTATAGATACCGAGAAAGAACAATATGTTTGGAAACACGACTTTAATGTTGAGATTATGTGTTTTTTGTTGTTGAACGAGTAAGTATTGACATCCAATCAGAAACTTCTTACGTTAAAAAGCGCGAAAATTTGAGGCGGTAGATGACGTTATAGTGAGATGATGTTGTTGACATTGGCAGCCATTTTTTTTTACACTTTTTTGAAGTTCCTGTTGGTCTACCGGTGGAATTATAGTGAGTGGATTAATATTACTTTTCCTCCATCAAAATGTACTAACTTGCTCCACGTTTCAAACGTTGTTCTTTTTTAGTTGAGTTTGGATCATGTTTGCTGTCTTCAGCTCAGATTACATTACAGTGAGTTACTAACATTATACACAGTTTAAGAATGAAAACAAATGCTGCTCTTTCCCTTGGTAAGTTGATGTGATGCTGTTAACTGTCATATACATTTATATCATTTGAAAACATGCTATACTG